TCAAGGTTCATGTCTCAGCCCCTTTGTGTGGTCATTCACTGTTCCTTACAGACATATAAACAATGCCATTATTTCACTTAAAAATATTTTATTATCTTTATTTTATGTATATGAGCATTTTCCCTGCATTGTTTGTAAGAGCACCCATGTCATACAATGCCCACAGAGATCAGAAGAGGCTGTCAGATCCCCTGGAACTGGAGTTAAGGACCATTGTTAACTGCCATTTGGGTGCTGGGAACCAAACTAGGGTCCTCTGCAAGAGCAGCCAGTGCTCTTAGCCACTGAGCCATCTCTCCAGCCCCACCATTTACTTATTTTCAGAAATATTTGAGGGTAAGTTGGAGACCTAATACTTTCTCTCTCCCAAATAGCTGTGCATACACATCCTAAAAACAAGGGCAGCTCTTATATGACCAAAACAGTCAAAATCAGGCAATGAACAGGACAGCAGAACATTGCCTATCTAACTCTCATGAAACGCTTGTCAGTATACTGCTTTATACTCCATACAAGAAACAAACCATGAGCAAATTCTGGCCCAGGGTCTGATTCAGACCCATACACTGTACCTAACTGCCATGTCTCTTTAGAGGACTACAAGCCATTTGTTTCATAGACTGATCCCCAATTTGGGGTGATCTGCTGTTTCCTGATGGTTTGATTCAGGCTATACAATTTTACCAAGACAAAGCAATGCCACCAATATACCAAACATCAACGTAAAAACCAGTGTAAACCAGAGAAGCTGGCAATGCTGGCTTTAGAGGGGAAGGTGTGACTTAGAGAAGACTTCATTGTATCTTTTTACCTGTGCTTTCCAAAAATGTATGAATATGTTACCTATTCCAAACAACAGGGAAGAGTTTTTTAAATGCAAAGACCGCATTAGCTTGCAGCTTGAGGCATCTGAGCCAGGAGGGAGATGGCCACAGGCAGCAGCAACCAGGACCTCAGGGATGCTCTTAGGGGGAAAAAAGACAGAGCAAAGGGCCCAGGTGCATCAGATATCAGCTAACTGGGGTCCCTGGAAAAGAGCAAGCAGCAGACACATGTGAACCCAGCATGACAGGGATTCCCCCAGAATGGACTGGGCCAGCTGGTATTAGGGGGAAAGACCTAAATGGCATGATGTCAAGTTCAAGCTTGCTCTGGATGGGATATCAGCTGTCGGTAGAACATAATTAAGGAAAGGGAAGGAGGAGAGGATTGTAGCTCCAACTATTAATTCTGAGGAATTCAGTGAAAAATTCCTACTCAGAGAACTCTCTGTGTCTCTATGTCTGTCTCTCTCTGTCTCTCTGTCTCTGTCTCTGTCTCTCTCTCTCTGTGTGTGTGTGTGTGTGTGTGTGTGTGTGTGTGAACTTTTCCAAAGGCACACAGAGGGTGCTGGAGGGAACTGAGAGTAGAATCCTGGTCTTGGTCCCAATCCATACCTTGACCCTCTAAAACAATAGTGTCTCCACCCTCCCCTAATGCTGCAAATCCTGGTTAGACTGTGCATGCAGGTGGCAGCAGAGGTACCATCCTACGGAGCTTCCTAGCTGCCTAGATAGGTAGGGGTTTGGGGAGCAGGGGCTGGCTAGTCAGGCCTGGGGCAGCTGGGAATTTTGGAGATCAGAGGCTAGAGCCAAAATCGGAGGAATTCAAAGGCAGGGAGGCAGTTTAGGGGGACAAGGAAGGTTAAAGCAAAGAACCAAAGCCGAGGAACCCCGTAGAAAGGGGCGTGTTGGCCATGCGCTTACTCCACGTGTGCCATCAGCACTACTTAAAAGATACTTTCAGAATGTCTACCTCTTTGGAACAAGCGTGTGATCTATAATTTGTCCTTGCAGGCAGTGAATCAACAGCGATGACAAATCTAACTGCCAGAAGTTAATAGTCTATTGAAGGTGAAACATCGATGGCAGCTAATAATTTGTGTTTAAGGGTGCATTCTATTTTGGGAAATGGCCAAGTGGCATTCGAGGTCAAGTCTGATGCTGTTGCTTTGTGCTGAGCTGGACCCCTGAGCACTACCCACATGTCCCTTCATTCACCTTACCATGCAGGCAGGCAGATTCTGGGCTCAGCCTGGTGTGACTCACACACTGGCCCTAAGCCCATGTGTCCAAGGAGCTTCAGCGTTTCCTAGACATGCATCAGCACTCTGGGTACGGGGTCAGGGGGATGGAGGCAGGACAATATTGCAGGGGGCAGCCTTAATATGCCTGTGTCACACTCTGTTTGTACTCCGAATGTGGGGCAGGTGGGGAGTTAAACTGTTCAAAATGAGACAAAAGTCAAATCAGAAAAAAAAACAAGAAGACAGGAGCTAAAGGAACGGTCTCAATGAGCATGCCATTTTCATGTTTGAGTGACAGAGGGAAGGAGAAAAGAAGACGGGAGAGAAGCCATAGTTTTCAGTGGGTACAAGAGCCGAAAGGACTTTGTGAGTCCTGCCGAGGCAGGTTCAGTCGCTGAGGAAGTCCTGGAGATGGGCTCAGCTGGAAGCAAGGCTGCCCTGCAGGATGGCAGTGCAGAGGCCACGGTGGCCAAGTCCCACCAGCTGCTAAACCTCAGTGCAGCACAGGAAAAACGGAGGTGGAATGTGAAGCATCTACCAATGAAGTGAGTGGCGTCTGGAATCTGCATCAAATTGATTCTTGAGCTGATGGGTTGGAAGCTAGGGGTGGGCACACAGGGTGAATCATACACCTATCTTTGTTGTGGGCTATTACACTGGAAACAAAAAGTTTATGGTAATAAATAAATGCTCTCTTACAAACAGAGGCCTATGAAGGGGCCCACACGACTGGTGGGGTACCAGCAGGGGGCTGTAAACTAGGGGACACAAACAGAAATTGGTGTGGATTTGATATGAGCTTTCTTGACCCTCCAGGTCAAGAACATGTAACCAAGGAGGGTGGATGAGCCGCCAGGGTTCACAGGTCCTGGTAATCCTACGTGACATGGCATGAAAGTGCTTAGCAAGCTTTCAGGTGCTTTGTGAGTTTCCCCCAGAGGTTAATAGATCACATTCTGTGCTCAATGTGCTGAATACACAGTAGTCACTTGGCATGCAGTCCTTCAGTGAGGAGTTTATTTTATAGAACTGGCACATTCACATATGGCTCTGGTGAAGTCACCTCTCCATTCAGCCATGCCTGGAAGAGGCAGAACAGTCTGACAAGCATCTTAGGCCTTCTCTGGTGGCAGCTCCAAGGGCTCCTGTAGCTCTGATTGAGAGCACCTCCCTGGTCACAGAACAGACCTGTTATGTTCTCACAGGTGCCCTGAGGCCTGGGAGTAACTGGTTGTTGAGGCTGGCATCCTCTAGCTGATTTGGTGCCTTTCAGCTCTCAATATCCAACTGAAACCATAGTTTTGAAGGCTCAAAATCTATAGGGCCTTTCTCCCTAAAGAATGCCTTAAAAAACATATACTCAGCCGGGTGTGGTTGTGCACACCTTTAATCCCAGCACTTGGGAGGCAGAGGCAGGCAGATCTCTGTGAGTTCAAGGCCAGCCTGGTCTACAAAGTGAGTTCCAGGCCAGCTGGGGCTACAGGGAGACCCTGTCTCAAAAAGACCAAAAAAAAAAAAAAAAAAAAAAGTACTCCTCGATCAGACATGCAACTACTAGAATTTAACTTTTCCAAGAAGCCTGGCTCCCCCAGAATGGGCAGAGCAGGATGTCCAGTTGGGAAGACAGGTATAGAAATTAATTTAGGCATAGTCCACCCCCCACCTCAGAACTATCCAACAGTGGAGTCAAGGTTTTGACTGCCCATGTTTGCTGATACTCAGGGGTCTCTTGGCTGAGACACATGGGATGGGTCCTTGGCACCAGGAAAGGTGGGAAGAAAGGTGGACCATGGAGACCAGGGATTGCTATGCAGCTGGAGCTCTTAGCACTGACCTTACAACCCATCTTCTGAGAAGCCAGGAAGCACTGAAGCTAGGCCTACACTCCAAAGAGATAGATGGACTTCTCTCCCTCGCGCATCCCCAGGGCTCAATCGGCCGTTTTGTAGACACCTAAAACCACACAACTTTCCTGCCCCTAACCCTGAAGAGTGGTGCAGACCCTTGGAGGGAGCCTTTCCATCCCTAGATCAGGCTGAAAGGTTGAATGCTGGGATCCAGGGCAAGAAAGGGAGAGAGCATTAAGGTCTCTCCCAGGAAGGCTCTGAGAAAGGCATGTGATTGACGTAGCTCTGTCTGGGCTGACACTCAGGAGAGCCACCTTTAGTCTCCAGTAAGTCCTGTTTCTTTTCCTTCCTCCTTTAAAGACTGCCCACCCATGGGGCATTCAGAGCTTGGGTGTGTATGTCTAGTATGAGGTAGACAACACTCCCAAGAGGCTTCCCAGGGCAGGACCCCAGCACCTCTTCCTAGGACACTGACTCCAAGGTATCATCCACAATCCTCAATTTTCACCATCCAGGCAAACTGCCATGCAGTACAGGTGCATCACCAAGAGCAAAGGCTCCACGACAAAGCTGAGATTCTGTTCCTTCCCTCCACTGCCTCCTCCCCCAAGGCATCATCACCTCACCTCACCCAACTCTTGGTCCATCTTCAGATCAGCAGCCTTGCTTTCCTTTCCTCAGAGAGGAAAGGGGACTTCGGTATGTCTGGGTACTGTAGCTCTCTCTCCCCAGGAAGCCCAAACAAATGGGTTTGTAATGGGGTCTCTCTTAGACTTGCCAGTTGGTTTTCTTGGGGGGGGTGGACTAGTCCTAGTAGTCCTGCATTTTATTATTCCCATCACCTTTCCAAAGTAGCTGTGACTCACAGTGAGGGTTTGCATGGCAGATTCCAGGAGGAGGACCCAGGACAAGCCTCGAAGCCATGAAGCACAGGTAGGAAAACCCTGAGAGGCACAGACCAATGAAGACAGAGTCCTGTTTTTAAACTGTGCTTTATTTAGGGCTAAGCTGGAGAAAGCGTCATCCAATAGTTACAGAAGGTTACAAGGAGTTTTAGGGAGTTGGGTGTGAAAAGAGCAGTTGTACTGAACTGCAGCTGTTTTTTTTTTTTTTTTTTTACAACATCTGGACATCCTAAAAGGAGGGGTCAAGAGAAAGAAAAAGAAAACGTGAAACAAATAAAAACAGCAAAATAGAAAGGAAAGGCAGGAGGCCTGAGAGGAACCAGAAATTTGTTCTTCTAAAAGAAAAAAAATGGTAGTTCCAAGAACCCCTCTGGCCTCCAGATGGACATCAGTGAGACATTATCGGGGCAGAACGCCAAAGCAAGTCTTCCCAAGGTGCAAATAAATTATAATAAATATGTTATACTTTAAAATATATGTGTTCTTAAATAATTCAGTGTTTTTTCTGATTCTGAGTTTTTTAAGCAATGTCTTTAACTGCTCTAAAGTCATTTACCAAAGATAAATATCGTGCTTTCATTAAATAGTTTTCCTTGTTTTTTCTCTATCATTACAATTAAAAGTCCTACAAAATATGCAAATTTATTTACAGAAAAACAGAGCCGGCATCATTTAAACATCCCTGTTTTTCAAAATTCCTTGTAAACAGTTTCAGAAATTCTTCAAAGATTGTTTGTTTTTCTCTCTCTTGTTAAGGTTTTGTGTGTGTGTGTGTTTCTAGTTGTTGAAGATGAAAGTTCCCAGTTCTCCCTGGCCCGGAAAGTCTCTGGAACAAGCATGGAAGGCGAGTGAAGCGGAGGTGAGGAGGGCGAGAGCTGCGCACGCGCGGCTCCGGGCGAAGCAGAGGCGGCAGGGCGCTTCCGGGGCGCTTCGGGGCGCTTCCGGCCGGGCCTGCAGGTCTGGACAGTCCGGCCTGGCCCTCGGGGCTGCGTCCGACAGCACTCGCGGGGAGACGGGATCGATGCTCAGTCTAAACTCTACGGAAGTACAGTCCTACAACATCTGGGATTTTAGCATAACGCTAACGTCTATAAGGTTATTTTTTTTTCCTTTTTTTATTTTTTATTTTTTTGCTTTCCTCTAATTTTTTTCTTCTATGATATAGGTATTTTAAACTTTTCCTTTTAAAATTCTGTACAACTATTATTTTAAGAGGGGGAAGAGTTAGAAGCATTTACAGACTTTTCACAACAATTACTTTGCCTTCAAAGTCCCCTGGTTCCCCTCGTTCTCACACTTCATGGTTAATGACTTTTAATATCTTTGTTGCTTTCCCCAAATATCCACCAAGCTGTTCGTTTTAACAGCTCCATCCAGACATATAATACAGAAAACCATAGGAACGTGTCATAGACTTCAATGAGGGTAATCAAAGCGCCTCTCAAGTATCAAAGAACTATTATCTTGCTGTTTTAAAAGCATTGAAGCAGTATTTTTTTCCTTTTTTTGTTTTTTTTAATTTTTTTTAAATTTTTTTATTACATTTTTCATAGAATCGCTCTAAGCTGTTTCAAGAACAGCCAGGAGGCAGGAAGGAGGTCGGTCTCCATTCCGCCTCTAATAGACAGAGCTACACATCTGCAATAAAAAGTTTGGTCCTTTGGTCCCTAAATAGCTAAAGGAATGACAGATAGAGATGCTCAGTGGCAGCCTCCCAGCTGCCTGCTGGGGACCAGGCCCCACCGCACACTTGCCCTCGCCTGCCTCAGGCGCCCACGGGCTGGATAAGCCCCAGGATCGGTCAGCAGCAGCAGCGTCTCCGTCTCCTCCCAGTGCCCAGCCCTTCAGCTTCCCCATCTGGGCTCATGTTATTTTGTAAAGTTGCCTTTTTTTTTTTCTCATTTTTCTTCATCGTCGTCATCTTCTTTATGTCATGTATAATTTTCCCCCAAACACGTGCCCTCTGAACTCCACGTGTATAATTTTCCCCCAAACACGTGCCCTCTGAACTCCATAGACGCTATACTTTCCTTGAAGAAATGTTTCAGTCAGTCACACAGAGTGTCTGGAGTCTTCAGCTTGATTGGTATTGGCTGATATGTCAAAGGTGTCATCCAACAGTTCTCATTTATAAATAGAGAGAGAGGTTTGTTTTTTAATGTAGCCCGTTCAGCATCCTGCCCTAAAATGAAGAAAATCAGGGCTGGTTAAACCTCCTGTGGAAACACAAAATGCATCCAAACACCAAAAGGACCTGCCTCAGGGGAAGATGGGACTTCTGGGGGATGGTGGGAGGGAAGGAAGAGAGACCAGTATGAGAATTAGTCATGATCATGATACAGCCAAAAGAAATTTATTCTTCTGTTCAAAGTGAGAATCCACCGGGCAATCTAGTGGCGATGGCTGTAGCTGGGCTTTCGGAAGAGAATTCTCGACTTGGCTTCCTTTAGAATGGTTCTGGATTGAGGGACCGCTAGATCTAAGGGAATAATTTGGAACCACAGGATATTAATTTGCAATTAAACTTGTCCCAGGGGGTTTAGCCCAGATACCATATGTATACAGAAGCCTAGCAAACAAGATGACTAGAATGTTGCATCCAGCCACTCTTCCCGGCTTTCGGGAAGAAGGAAGACAGAGCTGCCACTCAGATTTTTGCTGAATCTTTGCCCAGTTCCCAGCCAACCACTTCTTTCCCAAGATTAGCAACTATTTGCGAGGCTGTATGTACACATATGTGTATCTGGATATATGTGTAGCATATATTCACCTGCACATATGTGGATATACATGGATATGTGTGTATGTGTATGCATCTCTGCACACACACATGCACATACATAATACTTTTCTCATACATGCCAGGGAATTTAGAGGAAATTCAGAACTTCCAGGGAATGGATGGGAGAACCTAAAAAAGGTCAGAACAGATTTAATTATCAAACAAATTAGCTGAAACAGTTCTTGATTTGTTTCCAATGGTGGCTTTTTGCTTTGTTTTGCCTTTAAGAAAAAAAAAAAATCATGATCTGACTAGAATCAGAAGGCAAATGCTTAATCATTGTGGATTAACGAATGAGACTCATCTCCATTCTTGCAAGCAGCTTCCACTTATACATGGGGGTGACTGGTTACATCAAGAAAGTTAGAACTGCAGAGCCCCCACTTGCGGGGACAACATCATGCGTGTATCAATCCATGCTGGCAGGTTTTCACACTGTTGATTCAACAAACAGCAAACCATACACAGCAGTCTAAACAATTACAACACCAAATAAAATGAGAATAAAATTAAAAAAACACTTGTCAAGGACCCTTTTTCAGTTGTAAACAAAAAGATGCATTTTGCTTTTGTTGCTATTATTTCTTCCAGACCAACCGAAAATACCCTCCCGTGCGCCCCTCCCCACCGCCCCACGTTCAATTTAGCAGAAGTAGCTACAATACAAACCTCACAGTTTGGACCAGGCTCTCTCTCAGAGACCTCTGGCTTTGGACTCTAGCTTTTGGTTTAGAATTTCGTAGATCATTTTGTTACTGTAGATATTTTGGTTTTCTTTTTTCTTTTTTTTTTTTTTCCTTTTAAGGTGAGATTTAAAGTAGCCTAACTGGAAAAAGACCAGACCTAGGAAAGTGTCAATTGAAAAAGGCCCCAAATTTCTAGAAAAAAATAAAATCACAATATTTTCAAGTGCAAGTAAATCAACCACGCAGAGATATTTTTTTAAGATGTTTTCCTTGGTTTTAAGAAAAAAAAAGAATAGCTTATACAGTTAAATGATCCCATATTTGCTAATTCAGGAATTAATCTTGGTTTTTACTAATTTATTTTGTTCTTTTGTTTTGGTTTTTTTTTTTTTTTTTTCTCTATGTACCCATCAGACAAGAGGGTAAGCCACCTCAATTCTACCAGCATCTTCTATGGTAGGGGAACATATTTCGTCAGGAATGACATTCAGGCTATTGATTCAATATTGACCTATTCTGTAGATTTATGAACACGTACAAAAAAAAAAAAAAAACGCCGAACACAACAGAAAGTAAAACCACTGCAAGCACCAAGAACAAAACGGAAATGAGCACAGCAAAAAAAGGTCGTGGCAGCACAAGGTCGAGAGTGCACGTGTGATCATGACTGGCCAACCCACGGGACGACATCCAAGAAAAACGCTCCAATCACAGCACCTCCACGAAACTCGACGGCAGTGTCATGCAACCGATTCTTAGCCTTGTTACATGACGCCATCATGTCACACTGTGAACTTTGAGTTGATTTGAACTTACGGATGGGGGACTTTTCTCCACTCTCATGTGATTACGTGAACTTTATTCCTAGCTCAGCGCGAGACTGTGGTGGATTTGACTGGCCCTGGTTGGGTTGTTGAAATTTGGTTGAATGACAAAAGAAGAAAAGATTTATATATATTTATATATATTTATATATGGAGAGAGAGAAAGAGGGGGATAAGAGAGTGTGGGCAGAGGGAAGGGACAAGCAGGGGCAGGGCAGGCAGGGGCAGAAGTGTGGGGACAGGGAGCAGGGCTGAGGGTAAAGGGCAAGGAAGAAGTTAAAACAAAATTAAAAGGAAAAATATTTATACGGCACCAGACCACAGCATCCGTCTAAAAGCTTGGATGAGAAGACAGCAGTCAAATCAAAAGGGAACCGAAAAGAACTCAAAGGATGGAGAAAGCCAGCAGACGGACAACATGAGCACGTCAATACATACATACACGCACATGGCTGTTTATGCAGACACATGGCACACCATGAACAGGAGCAGGACCTCACACGGGCCCCTAAGGGCACCCATCATGCGTTGGGAAGAGGAGGCGGCGCGGGAGGTTTGGTGAGGGGGCCAGAAAAAAAAATCTAACAGCCCCTCACACCACCGTAGCCGGCAAGCAGGTCTCAGGGAGCAAGCTGTTGACACCCTCAATTCTGTCTCCCGGATGCAGAGCTCTCACCTCCCCGCCTTTTGTGGCTCCAGCCTGAGGACCTGCTCAGAGACTATGTGCCTTGATCGATGTGCAGGTGAGAAAGGTGCATCTCCCTGAGGCACTTGGCCTCCACAGTGCAGTCCACAGGGGCAGCACCCTCTCACCCACGGATCCCACCCTAGGAAAGGGTGTCCCTGGGTGGCAGGAGCGCGCCACGCTCACACTTATTCCTTAGAACCTCTGGCAGTGAACACGTTTCCTTTAGGGATTTGGAGTAAATTATGTCAGTATTTCTGGAATTCTGAAAACGGCCTTGGGCACTGCCAGTTTCCTGCATGATCACCTCAGACCCTTTGATTGGCTCACAGCTGGCCAGGCTGAGGTTGCTTCTGTGCCTGTGAAGTGCTGTGAAGGGCCTGCAGCTCTGACCCCCTAAAAGGGCCAGATTGAAGGCTGCAGGGTAGGGCTGCCCCCAGGCCAGGGTGCTGCGGTGGCCTTGCCCCGCTGCTCTCGCCTTAGCTCTGTGGACCCTCCTCCACTCTATTCCTTGCCTCCTCCACCCTGCTACCAGCAGCTTTCCAGATTGTTCCATCACCCTAGGTCAAGCCCTAATGGTTAAGAATGATCATTTTTCTCTGTAGGCTTCATCACGTTCCTCATTTCTGGGGCACCTCAGTGTCTAGGGGCCTGCTCCAACTCCCCTCCTTAGGTTATCTGTGACCTTGCCCTGTGCTCTGTGCTCCTCTGCAGCACCAAGCCTGTGCCAAGACCTGCATGCTCCCAGTTTGCAAGATTTGCAGCCCACCAGCCTCTATGTGCAACCCGCTCCCACTCTTGGTCTCCGTCTCCTTCAAGGTGGAGGGGGAATCCTGGGATCTCACAGTGGAACTGTGGATAAGCTGTGCCGTCAGCCAAGTGACTAGGCCCACTCTTGTCCTCTAGCTCAGCCTCCCAAAGGCACGCCCCACCATCCTGCCTGCCCACCCACACTGGCTTCTTTACTTTCCAGCATCACACCCTGCTTAACCTCACAGACCAGGGCCTGACATGTCCACTATGTCCTAAGTGCCACTCTCCTCTGCATTTCGAAGCTCTGTCACCATCTCCCTTCCCTAGGTTGTCTCGTTAGAGGGTCCCTCTGGCATGAGAAGAAGCCTCAGGTGTGGGCGCTGGCAACTGAAAGAAGGGACACCTAGGGACTCTCCCCCTTCCCTTCCACACTAATTCCTATTGTTGGTGCTTTCCTCTCTCCTCGGCTTCAGTCCAGTGTCTCTCAGTGCCAAGCACTGTCCTGAGCACAAGTACTCAGACCTCAATGCACATAGCCCCTCTTCTCAAAGTTCTATCAGGGATCTTTCTCACACAGGCCTTGTCTCTCACACACTTGCCCACCTCCACCCCTAAACCCAACACATAGCACAGCCTCCTATGTATCCACTCCCAAAGGAGGGGTGCCTCACAGAGCACTGCCCTGGAGGCAAAGATAGGGTCCTAAGTAGCATGGGAAAGCTGAGATCAGGCCTTGGAAGCCCCAGTTCAAGCTGGACCAGGCAGGAACAATTCAGATGCCAGGTGCTAAAGTAGCTTGCTTCTAGCCAGAGATGACCCAGACCCACAGCTACAGCCCAGCCCTGCACAAATCAGGCCCAAGTAGCTAGGGCATCAGGAGAGAAAGGACACCAGCAGGAAGGAGAGCCTCAATGACCCCAACCTCAACCCCACACCGCTGGGCCTCAGTCTGTGGAATCAGAGCAACGGTGTTCCCTATGGCTTCCTTGCCTGAACCTTTCCTCTTCCCTGGACCCAACCCACAGTGCTCTGACTTGGCCTCCTTCTACTACAGCTTCCACTCTTGGGTTGCAAGACAGCATTCATTAAGTGCTATCTGAGTGAAAACTAAAATCTTTATCATAGGAATCATATCATAGCACAGTTAAAGACTGCCTATCCAGAGAGGAGGTAGTCGGATGGCTGACCCCAAAGAAATAGGGTGTCATAATGTGTCCCCTCTGAAATGTAGGATGCTGTAGGAGAAGACTGGGTGAGGGCAGGGTTTCTCACTTGAAGGGAACTAGGCTCCTGGCTTCAAACTTTGGCTCCATTACTCACTGGCTGGTGGGCATGTCTCTTAATCCCTCTGTGCTGTATCTGTGATGGAGGTGTTGACACTTCCACCTATAGGGAGGTGCAGTCAGCTAGTTTATGTTAGTTACTGTTTCCTGTCAGAGCAGCGCCTGGTATCTGGCAAGGACGTGAAGGTCTATGGTTCTCCTCTTTCTGGTCTTTGTATTTCCTGGTGTTAGAACTCCTCCCAAGTCTGAGTGCCAGCTGGACCTTCTTACTTTACCAAACAACACAGTCACCTTCCTCCACCCTTCATTCAGGAATTTCTGACTTAGAGGTTCTTGCTTGGGCCATGAGGGTAAGACAGGAGTTGCTATCAAAAACACCCCGGTGCTCTGACTTCAAAATCCTCTGATTCCAAAATGGTGGTTTCATCGAGGAAATGGAAGGCTGGAGTGGGACACACCTGGGACCCAGGTAACTTCTGAATGGCAGTGCTATCTGTATTTCGGGAACAGTGTTCTATATCCAGAAAGAGCTTCGTGACAGCCATTCCTCTCCTACAGAAGCACGAGCTGCCTGCCTCCTTATGCCTGTGCCTGCGCAGAGCTGGAAGCTCTGTATCCTCAGCCCCCAGTCTAGTGCCTAACACAGGAAGGTGCCCAGACTCTGAACCAACATGGATCTGCATCTGCATACCAGCTGGAATGGGCAGGGCGACCTGAATCTACATACGAGCCAGAATGGGCAGGGCTGGGGACTGAGGAGCCCAGAGGCAGCTTTGCTTTCCCAGGATTGCAGAGTGTTGGCTAAAGTATCACTGGAGGGAGAACACCAGCTTCGAGCTGGTGAGGTCTGCTATTTCTGGGTACAAGAAGGGCCCTCTGCTGGTGGCCCAGCCAGGCAGTGTGAGAAACTGGAGCCCTCCTCCCATACTTCCCACCCTGAACCTCCTTCTCATATGCTGGAACTTTCTTGAAACTCTCTGCTCTCCTGCTCACTAGGGCCAAAACCTGGAGTCTGCCTAGGTCCCTCTTCCCCTCAAACTCCTTCTAAGGCATCAGGAACAGTATCTCTGGCTCTACTTTCAAACTGTATCTAAACATTCACTCCTTCACACTACCTGCTGCTGCCCCGGACTGATTCACACTACCTGCTGCTGCCCTGGATCTCTGCGCAGCACCTAGCCTACAGTCTAGCATCAACACAGCTGCCAGGATGGTGCTAGTGAAATGCAGGCCACCCCAGCACTCCCCTGGGCAACTCACCAATGCCTCCTTCCTCTTCAGAAGAGAACGAAGTTCATACAGTGGCCTGCAGGCCCTAAGCAGTGGCCCTTCTCTCCCTTCTGTCTTTCCCACCTCTTAGCCCTCATTCCCCTGCTTGCTGCTTGGATATACTGTCCCTACCCTTACCTCAGAGGGAGGCCACTCACCCCCAGATGCTCTTGTCTGTACAATGTCAACTTAGTGAGGGTGGCCTACCAGTCCTGACATTTCACTGTAGCTATGATTCCCACACCTAACATTAGGTAATCTGCTGCCTCTCTCCAAGTTTCCCATCTACCTAACAGTATCCAAGCCACAATACTGCCAAATAAAGGGATAGAAGGGGATTGGGGGGCGGGAGGGCAGCCTGAAAAAGAAGAGGCCAAACCTGGCCTTCATCTTTGGCCTGTGACTAAGCTGAGGACCACAGGTGGACAGTACCAGAACTGGTGCAGGTGGACTTGATGCCTGGAACATCCCCCATTCCTTCCCCAGCCAGCTGTGCTCTCCAAGAGAACACTTGACCCAAAGAAGTGGCTGACTGCCTCCAGCGGGGCAGACTGGGTGGAGCGCCCACTAAGAAGGATCACTGCCAGCCCTAGCCTCTCCCTGGCCTCAGCTTGTGTGTGTCCTCCGGTTTTGTTTCCTGGTAAAACTCCCTTGAAGAGCCCTGCCCTCCTAACCTGTGCTAGGCAGCCTTAGGGGAGCGGAGTCAAAGGTCTGAAGCTACCAGGAGAACTGGGCAGGGGAGGGCCCAGGTGTCTGGAAGAAGGCTCAGTCTGAGGCTATCCCTCACTGCGGGGCCCGAGCTTGTCATTTGCCCACTTGGGGTCCCCTGGCCAAAAGGACCAGCAGTGTGAGCCTGGAGGCGCAGGCCTGGGGCTCAGCCTGTCTTCTCCAAGTTCCCTCTCTTCTGTCCCTCTGGGCCTGGAGGCAGAGGGGACGGCCATGTCCGTTCTGTCCGGGTGACCTTGGCTCTGTGCCTGTGCTGTGGCTTGTGAGGAGCAGGCTCAGCGGGGCGCATCGGGTCCAAGGCACGAGTGAGGGCCGGGCCCAGGAAGGCACGAGCGCGGCGGGTCCGTCCACACCTCCCGTCCCTGCGCCCCGCCGCCCGGGTTACCTGCGCGAGTCCTGGTCTCCCCCGGGAGACGCTCCCGCCGGCGCTCAATACGGGCGATTGGCGTCTTTGGGCCGCTTCAGCTGCACCTTGAGCCTCTTCATGCCGATCTGGAAGCCGTTCATGGCCTGGATGGCGGTCTGCGCGCTGGCCGGGTTGTCGAAGCTCACGAAGCCTGGCGAGACACGAGGGACGAGGGCCTGGGTGTCCACGAGGCCGCCCGGGGCCGCTGCGGGGGGCGGGGGGCGGGGCTCGAGGCTCCGCCCC